ATTTTCGGGGACGGCTTGGTGTGTCTGTTCGGGCTCCCCCTCTTGGGGCCCTCATGGTAGCCTCTGGAGCCCTCTTGGGTGCCCTCTTGGGCCCTCCTGGGCCGCCTTGGGGCCATCCAGGGAGCCTCTTGGTCTGACTGGGGGCGATCTTGGAGGCCTCTTGGGCCGTCTTGGGCGGTCGGTAGCGTTATTTGTTTTGCAGCCAACGCAACATTAACACCATTTACATCTTGGCGCGGGGAACGAGGCGGTCACGTGGCGAAACCTCGCCAGACCCACGGAGCGCGCGAGGCGATAACGAGGCGGCAGTGGGCGGCAACGTGGCGAAACCTCGCCAGGCCCACCCAGCGCATGCGGCGACAAGGAGGCCGGCGGCGGGCGGCAGCGTGGCGAAGCCTCGCCAGACCCAACACATTCCCGGGCAGAAGCAAGACCCCCAAGTGCAAGCACTGTCTTTGGGGAATGTCGAGGCCACCGAGGGCACATGACCGGCCTTTCCCAGGGAGGGTTTGCCTCGACCCCCAATCGCCCATTGATCGCCGATACGGGACCGATAGCCCAAATCTGCCCAGGAACGTTCGGATTCGCTATGGGGTGCCTGTCGCCGATGTATCGGCGATGTATCGCCGATTCCATGTCGACGCGCCCCTCCTGTGCCAGTCCCCCCCCCCTATCGTTGCCCCTCACACTATCCGTGCTGTGGTGGGTTGCCGCGAGGTGTCTTCGGAGTATTCCGCTGCTTCCGGCCAGACCAGCCACCGCGCCTGGTTCGTGGACAAGAGACCTCTTTGGGAGGTTTCTTTGGCTCTCTCTTCTAGGAGGCATTTTTGGAGGCATTGTTGAAGGCATTTTGGGAGGCATTTTTGTAAGCATTTTTGGGAAGCATTCTTGGGGCCTCTTGGAGGCATTTTTGGGGCCTGTTGGGGGCTTCTCGGGGGAGTCTTGGGGGCCTCTCGGTTCCTCTCGGGAGCATGTTTTTGGGGGGGTTGGGGAGCAATATGTGTAGGGAGAAGGGTCCGACGGCTCCTTCGCTTCCTCCGTCTGGGGCGACTCTTGGGGGCATCTTGGGCCCTCGTGAGGGCCTCCACGGCCGTCTTTTGGCTCTCTTAGGCCGTCTTCAGGCCCTCTTGAGGGCCTGTCGATCTTGAGGGCTTGTTGGGCTGTCTTGGAGTGGCAAAAGCCCAGAAGTGCGAGATCGCTAAAATCATTCCATAATCGCACGGGCACTTACGATGTTGCACTTCTAGGGCCTTCTTGTGGGCTTCTCAGACCGTCGTGTGTCCATCGAGGGCCGTTTAAAGCGTTCTGGGGTTATCACGGGAACCTTCTTGGGGCGTTCGCAGGAGATTCCGAAGCCCTTGGGGGAACTTCTTGGGCCTGTTTGTGTTTATCGTGGGCCGTCTTAGGCAGTCTGGGGTGTCTCTTGGGCTGACTTGGGGCGATCTTGGTGTCCTTTTGGGCCGTCCAGGGCGGTCGACAGCCCTAAAAGGCGATGCCGCCAACACCGCCGGAGAACCCATGCATAGCCACTGATGTTTGCGTCTTCGGGGCGCAACTGGGTTCTGTTTGCGTCTCGCGGGAGCTTCGTTAGCCTTCCGGGGGGAGCTCCTGGGCCAGTTTGGGGTTCTCTCGGGCCGTCTTCGGGCACTGGGCCGTCCAGGGCGGTCGGCCGCCCGAAGAGGCGGTACAGCCAGCATCGCCCGAAAACTCTCTTGCGAAATCAAAGATCTTGGTGTCCTCGGGGCCCCCCCGAAGTCCTCTCAGAACCCTCCTGGTGCTAGGGGAACAAAAAATGACATAAACATAAAAACTCGGAGGTCCGCGCGGATTCCTCCCATCGGCGCTGGACCCCCCTCCCTGGCGCGCGGAGCGCGCCAGGGGCGGCGCCGGAGGCGCCGCCGAGGGGGCCCCAGCGCCGATCCGAGAAATCCGCGCGGACCTCCGAGTTTTATTTTTATGCCACTTTTTGTTCCCCCAGTCCTGGGCGCTTGTTGGGCCGTCTTTGGGCCAGCGTGGGTCATCTCGGAGCGTTCTTCGCCTTCGGCCGCGGGCTCTGCCACCCCTTCCGGCGCGTCATTTGGGAGACTCTTCGGGGGACCACCCGAGGCCGCGCCCACGAGTTCCCGTAGCTGACCTGGACCTGCCAGAAATTGCCATAAGCCTGCCGGGAATTTGCCGGGGTTTGGCGGGGGTATGTTTTCGTCTTGGGGCCCCCAGGGGCTGCCACCCGCGCGCTAGCTAGAAACAGTTTGAAACTCTTACCGGAGAGTTTAGCATGCCGCTGGACCGCTGGGCCGGCGAACGCGTGACTAATCATGCCCCCTTCCACTCTGTCTGTTTTTTGATCGCAAGGATGAGCACGCACGTCGCAGCACAACCTATGTCACGGCCCGATCGAACCCGTCGGGCACCGCACGCACGGTTCGGCACAATTGCGCATTGCGTTGGCAATTTTGTATTGGCGGCGCGAGGCAGTTGAGCGACCGCGTCGAGCGGGAGAATTGGGATGGTCGTTTCAAGGACTGGACGCGGCGAAGATGACGACAAGAATGAGCGGGAGAGTGGGCCGAGGGTTGGGAGAACCAGGAGAAGGAGCAGCAATAGAAGCAGGATGGGACGGATACGTAGTTTTGTCCTCGTTGGTTTCGCCACCGAGCTTACAGTCTCGGTCAACTGTTTCCACCACTGTTACGGTAAGAGGATTCTTCCCTGTTGTGGTTTGTGCACGTTTGGCTCTGCACGATGCCCCGTTGGTATATTGCGGTGCCTGTGGCTCTTTCAGCAATCAGCGCCACGCAATGTGTAAGAGAGCATGATGTTTGGATAGCGAACTGAATAGTTCAGACCGTTGACAGGTTTGGATGCAACTCCTGGGAGGTAAAATTCTGACTATGCCCTGGTCCGAAGTCCGGACGAATCCGGTTTAATCTCGTTCAATCCGGCTTAATCTGGCTTTACCGGGCGCAATCCCGCTGAATTCGCGGCCTAATCCAGTGTACGATCCCCCATATGGGACTTAATCCCTCTTAATCCTTGCGACGAAGACCTCCCAGCAGATGCCTCCTAAGACAGGGAGTGTGTCCCAGGATGTGGAGGCGGAGCGAAGGGTCTGCGCCCAACATTCCGCCTCCGTGCCCCTCCCGCTCCTCCCCAAGCACCACCCTTCCGCCCTCGCGTCCGCCTCCTCCCTCATCCTCTCTGTCCCCCATCCGCCTCCTCCCCCCTGTCGCCCTCCTTCCTCCCCACCACTTCTTCCTCCTTCTTCCCCTCCCCTTCCCTCCCCTCCCTCCTCCTCCGCCTCTCCCCCCACTCCCCTCCCCTCCCCCTCCCTCCTCCCGCTCCTCCCCGCCACTTCTTCCCCTCCCCATCCGCCCCTCCGCCTCCGCCGAGGAGCTCACCGAGAAGGTCGCGGGGCTGGACGCCCGCAGGACCCCCTTGGCCCGTCTGTGCATGCGTTTGTGTGTCGATGCGTGCGGGTGTTGATGCGTGTTTGTTATGTGTGTGGGTGTTGATGTGTGTGTGTTGGTCTGTGCGTCGATGTGTGTGTGTGTGTGTTGGGTGTGTGGTCTGTGTGTCGATGTGTGTGGGTGTTGATGTGTGTGTGTGTGTGTTGATGCGCGTGTGTGTTTTGATGCGTGCGTGTGTGTGTGTGTGTGTGTGTTTAGGGTGCGTATGGGTTCGAGTTTTGTATGTTGATGTGTTCTGTTGTGATCGCGCGCGTGTGCATGGTCTGCTCGGGCCGCTGACTGCGTCCACCAGCGCCGGAGCAGAGTGCGAGTGCGCGCTTGTGTGTCTGTTGTGTCGGTTGCCTCCCTCGCACCGCTCGATGGCGACGTCCTGCGCTCCTGCGGGCCTCCAGGCGGCTTTTGCTGGCGGGCGCCCCAGCCCTCGAGACGCTTCCGCCCTTGTTGGCTCCCACCCCCCAGTGCCTCGCTTGCAGGCCTCCCGCGTCCCCCCCCGCCGCCCCCCGTAGGACCCCTTGACTGTATGCTTCCGTCGGGCGCGTCCCTCTAGAGGAGGAAGACTCGAACACTGTCTAAAGGTTCTCTGGGGACCAGGATGCTGACTATTTCTTTTGTCATTATTGAGTATGCTTTGTTTTATTTTTTATGTTTTGTCCAAAATCCGCCTGTAGGAGGACCTGCCCGACCTGATTGTATGCCTGTCGCACGACGCGGCCGCGCACGCCCCCCGTCGGGGCAGCTCCGTGCCTCGCCGCGCTGCGGCGCCGCTGCTCGGAGGATCGACTTCGCCGAGAAGCTCGAGATCCTGGAGAAGAGGCTCGCGGGCGGTGAGCAGGCGCACGAGGCGGGCCCGCGCCTGCAGGGTCCTGCCGCCCTGCACTGCCTCCGCCGCGAGCGCGCGGCCCACGTGCGCGCCTTGCGCGCGGGAGCACCGCGAGCAGGACGAGAAGAGGAGGAGAAGGGGACGGCGCGTGGGGGAAGGAGGGGGATCGGCTGGAAACGTCGAGGAGCAGTACGACAGGGCGGAGATGGAGGACAAGGAGGGCTACACGAGACGCCCAGGCGATGTGCTGGCAGAGGTCGTCCTCCATACTGCTGTCAAGCGGCCCTTGCCACTACGCCAGGACCTGTGAGTTCTTGGGCTTGGGCGCGCCTCAGGAGACTTCAACTTACCACCTACCCAAGCGAGTCCTGTCAACTTCCTGAAACATGTTTCTCATCAGCACTTGCGGACGCCCGCCCCGCAAGGTCGAAACTATCATTATCCGACAGCGCAGGCTCAGCGTCGTGAGCTACCGGGCGTCACTGGATCCATTCGAGTGGGCTGCGGTGACGAGGAGCCTCCCAGAAACCCAAACAGTCTGAGAAGTGATACACACACGCATTTATGCAACCCTTCCGCGTTGTAGTATAAGCATGTTCTTTGTTTGTGCCTGGCTGTCTTGCCTCTTCCGCCTTGCATGTCGAACCTCCTTTCGGGCTTACCTAGTGGTGGACCTCGCTGAGTTGTTTCTCGCGTTCCTGACTGTGCTAGCCAATGTGGCCCCCTTGGATTCACATCGCGGTTTCCTCGGGCGTGTTTGATGGAGCCTTTTCTTCGCTGCAGCTCGTTTGCTTCTTCGGCCTTGACGGCCCAAGAGCCACCCCCCATTGGCGGGGTCGGGCGGGGTGGGGCAAGGTGAGGGGGAGTAAGAGGAGGGAAAGGAGGGGTTGAAGGAGAAGGAGAAGCTTGAGACGGAGGAAGAGGGGTGGAGGGAGGAGGAGGAGGAGGAGATGGAAGAGGAGGACGAGGAGGAGGAGGAGAACGAGGAGGGGGAGGAGGAGGAGGAGGAGGAGGAGGAGGAGGAAAAGAGATTGAGGAGGGACCGGAGGAGGGGCGAGGAGGAGGGGGAGGGGGGGGAGGAGGACAAGCTGGGTGTGCTCGCGCCATATCTGACGTCCTACCCCTCCTTCCCATCCCTTATCATGTCGTAGATCTCCTCTCTACTCGCACAATCGGATGTCGCAACATAGTATAGCATTACACGACATAGCGTGGTGTTGGAGATCAACGCGTAGCATGCCATAGCATGAAGTGGCGGCGCACCAAAGTGGGGGTGGGGCTGCTGCTGCCCAAAAATCAACGAAGCGACACCAAATGTGGAATCACTTCCGATGTTTTTTGTCGGGAGGCCATGTTCTAAATTTTGGAGCCTATTTGGAAGGACCGAAAGCCATGCAGTGGCATGGCGCTGGAAATAATGACGCCAGCGCTGCAGTGGGAGCACGATTCGGGACGAGCGGAAACTCGAAAATGAGGCCAGCGCTGCAGCGGGAGCACGATTCGGAACGAGCGGTGGCCCGAAAATGAGGCCAGCGCCTCAGCGAGAGCAGCATGTTGAACAACAAAAACAAGCGCGGAAACACGGAAATGAGGACGCGCAGCCTGACATAACATGGCGTGGCGACGCCTCAAAGTGGGGGGGGGCTTCTGCGGCTCAAAAATCAGCGAATCGACACCGAATGTGTAGTCACTTGCGATGCTTTGTTTGTTTGGGGGGCATTTTCTAAATTTTGGAGCTTATTTGGAAGGACCGAAAACCATGCAGTGGCATGGCGCTGGAAATAATGACGCCAGCGCTGCAGCGGGAGCACGATTCGAAACGATCGGAAGCGCGGAAATGAGTCCAGCGCTGCAGCGGGAGCACGATTCGGAATGAGCGGTGGCCCGAAAATGAGGCCAGCGCCTCAGCGAGAGAAGCATTTTGAAAAAATATAAAGCGAAAATGCAACTACCAGGAATCCTGTGTAAAAGAACAAGTACACCACCAGGGGAGAGAGGAGATTAGTATTCATATTGTGTAACTGCGGAGGGGAGGACGACGACGAGGACGAGGATGGTGACGAGGACGAGGATGGTGACGAGGAGGATGATGAGGAGGAGGCGGAAGAGGAGGACGAGGAGGAGTAGCAGGAGAAAGAGCTGGAGGAGCAGGAGGAATTCGCCGGAGCAGGCGCGATGCCAATCCGAAGTCCAGACAACTCGGAATCTTGGCGAGGTGCCAACGCTCGAGCGTCAGCCTTACCCAACCAAGACCGTATTGGTGGGGTAGCGCTCCCGTTCGAGCGTTGGCACCACGCCGAGATTGCGAGATGTCTGGGCTTAGGATTGACATCGCGCCTGCTCTGCCAACTTCCTCTGGCCTGTGGGCGGGGAATGGGGAGGGCTGGACGGGGATAGTTGAAAGGAGGTGGATGGGACAATGGAGGAGGAGGAGCAGGAGGAGTAGGAGGAAGAAGAGGAGGAGGAAGATGAGGAGGAGGAGGAGGAAGAGAAGGTGGAGGCGGGCGGGGGGAAGGGGAACGAGGAGGAACAGGAAGGGGGTACGGAGGAGGAGGAGGAGGAGGAGGAGGAGTTGGAGGAGGAGGAGGAGGAGGAGGGGAAGGAAGAGGAGGAGAAGGAGGAAATTAGGGAGAAAGGGGGGGGGACGACGAGCAGTGTCTTGGAGGTCTCTTGGGCCGAATTGAATCCTTCTTGGGACCATCTCAGAGTCCTCTTGGGCCGTAGTGAGACCATCATGGAGGCCATTTGCGCGATTTTGAGAACATCTCGGAGGTCACTTCGGCAGTCGGAAGGCAGGTTTCCAGGGAATGCCAGAATCGTTGGGAAATTCCAAGAACATCAGTGGCTTGGGTTTCTTCGGGTCGTCCTCCCCCTCCTCCTCCTCCTCCTCCTCCTCCTCCTCCTCCTCCTCCTCCTCCTCCCCTCCTGTCCTCTCCTTTCCTCCTCCTTCTTTCTCCTTATCCTCTTCCTCCTCGTTTTCTTCCTCCTCCTTCGGTTCTGTTGCCATTTGGCTCAGGCCGTGCGTTCTGTTTGCCTCAACATGTTGGCCCTTTTGCCAGGTCAATTCGGCTTGAATCCGCGCGCACTCTTCTGCGATGCCGGCGGGCTGCGTGCCGGGCTGGTGCGATCCGACAGACTGTTGCGAACCTGTCGGCCCATGGGTTTTGGGCCGCTGGCCATTGTCCGCGCGCCGGGGTCGCCCCAGCAGCGGTGCCCGAGCACTGGCGTTCAGTTTTGCGATCCGACCAGCGTTGGTGCGCTGTTTTTTTTTGCCCCCCCCGGATTTATCATGGACGAAAACGTTGCGCCACGGCGGACCATCCGTCGCCCCGCAGTATGCTCAAAAAGTACTTTTTGGTTTGGTGGGGTGTTCTGGTCTCCTTAAGCGCAGCTGCGCGACAAGGCGCCGCTATGGGGCGCCTTGGAGATTGCCGACGCCGTCAACTATCTCGGCTTCTACGTGGGCCCCGGGCGGGGATGCACTTGTTCGGGGGTTAAGGAGCATGGGGGACAGCGCGTCTTCATCGTATCCATCACCGCCTTCGCCGCGCAGCTGGATCCCCCCCCCCCGGAGTCGTTCCCAGAGGCAGAGGAACGGGTCGTTCAGAAATTTCTCGCCGCGTAAGGTCCCCGACGCGCGCTCTCTCGCCCACGTTTCGAGAGTTCGCGCTGTCCTCTGCGAGGCGCGATGTAGCGGAGGACGTCGCCCTCCAGCCCGCGCGGCGTCGCTTTGCGCGGGGCTCGCCGACTTCGGCGACGCCCAGCGTCCGGTTTCCCAGTTAGTTCTGGCTTCGTTTTATTGTCTAGTCTTTGCCGATGCCACGTTTCGGAAGTTCACGGGCATTGGCGGCCAAGACAGCGGAGATTTAGTTTCAGGCGCATTTTCCGATGAGTGCCGCCCCGACGGTTGGCGTGCCCGGGCTGCGATGGCTACGCCGCCGTCTTCCGTTGCGGCGCTGCTGATGGCGATGCGGCGTTTTCTGAACGAACGGCGGACCCCCGCGCTTCCTGGACATCGATGCCTCAGAGTCACGCGCCTCTTGCAGTCCATCGCGAAACTGGCCCGCGAAACTTGCGTCCTCGCCGCAGTTCTGCGGGCCAACTTGAACGGGTGGATGATAGCCCGTCGCATCCAGCAGCAGGACCAGCGCTTGCTCGGATGCCAGAGGTTCGAGGATTCCGCGACGCACTACGGGGGGTGCGCACGTAACCATCCGTTGCGCGGGCGCTTCCTGAATCTGGCGAGACCACCAGCGGGCCCACGAATTGGAAGCGTTTTCGCTCCCAGGCGGGAGGGCCGCTACAGATGGGAGCGGGCACGCCAAGACTCTGAGGGCGCTGAGCGCGTATGCTGTGTATTGCGCGCACAATGCGGTGTGTTGTGCCGACTCTTCCGGCCCGCGTGCAAGCCATTTCAGAGATTCTCTGCGCGAGGGAGTGCGGAGCCATTCGAAGTCTCGTCGGTGCTGTAGGTGGCGTTCAAGCGCGCGCGCCCGGAGCGAGACGCTGGTCCCCCCCTTGTCGTCCCTCCCTTGTTCCCTTGGCTCGCGGGCCGCGAGGGCGGAAACGGCTCGATTTCACGTCGGCCCCCCGCCCGTTTCCTCTGTTGGGGGCTGACGCGCGTGCTCGCCTGCCGCACGGTGGCGCGTGCGTCGCTCCAGTTTCTGTTGGCAAATCGGCTTGAGTTTTAGTAGGCGGTTCTCCCTCCTCTCGTCGTCGTCCTCCTCCTCCTCCTCTTCTTCCTCCTCTCGCCTGTTATGTCCGCACTCGGGGTGGCTTTGATTCGGTCGTGCGAGCTATCGTGAATTATCTTGCAGGTTTTTCGCGCTCCGCTTGTGCGTGTCAGGATCTACACGCGCCGGCGAGCTGCGAGAGCCGTTTTCGGCTACCACGGTGCCCTCCCGGTTCTTCCTCCTGCCTTCTTCCTTCTTCCTCCTGCTCTCCTTTCCCATCCTTTGGCATGGGCCAGGATTTAAGGCAAGTTATGTGCGCGACGAATGTTTTTAGCAACCGCGGTGCCCGCTTTCTCTCCTCGTCATCTTTCCTTTCCTTTTCCTCATCGTCCTCATCATACCCAGTATCCCTCTTCTTCTCGCACTTTGTTTGTTATGTTTGAAAAGTTGCTGTACTGTAAGCCTCTGGTCACTTTCTGCCGCGTATCGCCACGGAATGCACGGATTATTCAAGAGATGTTGCGGTCGCGATATATTCTATGTTTTTTAACAAAAAAAGAGCCCAACCATATGCAGCTGTGAGTAACGCAGTTCTGGCATCGTCTTCGGTGGAGCACCTCATGGTGCTTCAAAACGTGTGAGGGGTGTGCCGAATGGGCGGTGGGGGCGAATGTGAACACCTCCACTGGGGCCTTCGGTGAAGCTTTCTATGGTGCCACGAAGCGTGTGGGGAGTGTACCGGGATTTGTAGCGAGCGGGACGCAAGTGGATACCGCCACTGGGGCTTTTGGTGGATGTCCTTTGTGGGGGCCCGAATCGTGTAATGGGTGTGCCGAAACGGGTGGCCTTGACGCATGTGAACACCTCCAATGGGGCCTCGGTTTGGTGGAACTCCCTGTGGGGCCATGAAACGTTTGAGGGGTGTGCCGAAATGGGTGGCGGGGACGCATGTGGACACCGACAATGGGGCCTTCGGTGGAGATCTTTATGGGGCCACGAATCGTGTGAGGGATGTGCCGAAATGAGTGGCGGGGACGCGT